TCAAGCGACTTATCCCCCGAAATAAACAACAGGGACGAGCTGATGGAGGCAATGAGGCTGATTGCATAGCGGTCGTGATAAAGTCCTAATTGTCACGCATGTCGCATTCTTAGGGACTTTTAGTTGCACTGGAGGTCGGTCAGGGGTAGGTCGTTAATATATGATGGTTTGTCAACGAATGTAGGCTTTTACTATGTTGTATTACAGACCTTAGCGACTTTATTGTTAAGAGGGAGCCCAGTCTGGTTAGTACTTTGATCAGCTTGATTGTTGTAAGGAATTGAAGTACTATGTATGCTTGTTTTATTTGAGGTCTGAAGAAGCTGTTACCACAGCGAAAGCTTACCAATGAAAATTTCATATCGAGTACTCATTGAATATTGTTGAAGAAAACATTAGAACGTATGAGGCTCAGGGATAGCTCAATTCTATCATATTTAGTTGCAGTGTTCTAAGTTTATCGTATTCCTTACGAGCTTGATTGCCGATAGAGTTGATCATTAGTTTCGGGAGACTTTAAAATCTGTCACCAAATTTCTATTGTAGTCCTCTAGCTGAATAACTTGTGTAATGCAATTTATTCTGCGCCATGAGCACAACTTCTGTGTGGTAATCATCGCACTGACTTAAGGTTTCTTCAAAAATCTCTGCATGGAACATCCGGTCACCTTCAGAAACGATTGTTTCCCATCCTCCTTTAACAAGAACACTTGCAGGATGGCAAAAGTAGGCTGGTATTTTTGCTTACCTGAGATTTTATGTGTTCTCCCTCATAAATTCTTTATATCTCCTACTCTTCTTACTTATCTTACTTTTCTAGATCTGTAGAACATCCCTCACTATCACCAAAAAAGTCTGTCAATGGGACCATCGCCAATGAAGCAATATTTACGTTTTCTTTTCAACAAGAAAAACAACTACGTCGTTTGTATGCGATGTCGTACATACCGGCCGGTTTTTGGAGTCGCCTAATCACGAGGTTTTTTTTACTGTTTTGTACTTATATTTTTATAGAGGCAAGCCTCAGTGACAGTTGAACTGACATCTCTCAGATTTTGCTCCTCGGAGTTTATTTCCTTTTTAGAATCATCGGAGACGAGAACGTGATGCGAGCTGTAGAGTGTATGTTTGCGACGAAACTCCGAAGTAATGCTGCTCGACTTCAGCAGATTTGTGACAGCCAGTTAAAAGCCGAGTGGATTGTTTGGCAGACTGGAATCGAGGTCCGTAATTTCAAAAACACTAAATTCACTGGCGCTTTAAGCATTCTATACGGGTATGTGACAATACATTCGTATTTCGCTTCACTGGTGGGTGCGCCCAGCGATGGTGCCTGCCGCATGCAGCAAATGGGTAGCTCGCAGCCACATATATGACATGCTATTGTCTAATTTTTCCACTAGCACTTGGAAGCATGTTAAATATGTTAGGTGCTTTCGCTGTGGAATATCTGAGTGGAACTGCCGCGCTGGTTACCGCACAACGCGCTGAGCGCGACGACGCGGTAAATTAGGATTGTCTTGACAGCCTCCCGTTTATTCATGACCCCCACCCCACACAAGATGCCAATTTATTTCCTTAGTTTCTACCAGTAACTTTTCATCTGCAAGATTTGAGCGACGAATTAATTTAAAGGTGATGGAACTCTTTATACCAATGACGCTTGCTAAAAAGTGTTCTGCTCTTAGATTCGTGTGCTGTCTCTCCGATATTCTAATAGTTTGTTTTTCAGCTCTTGATCAAAGGTCATTCGGTTTTCGTTCTCAAGCAGTTCTATGCTCAGGTTTGTGTTTCCTGTTGATCAGATTAATTTTGACTGAATTTTTGTTATTTTTAGGCAGAAGTTCGTGATTTGGACTATACACTTTTGAACTTTCGAACGCGTGATGAGCAGAAAAGATGGCGCACATTTCCGCTTGAGCAGTATGCACTTGTGGAAATGCTGTTCCCTGCGTTAAGGTAACAGTTTACCTTTTTACCAGCAATTAACTGTTGTCCCTTATGGCCATATGCTAGAGGGTCCCATATATTGATAGCCCTGTATTATATTTGAATTGTAAATTACGGGTATACCCCACTTACTCTTACTTTCCGTGTACACTAAACAGCTGGAGAACTTAGGACCATCGACGTGTGCGCGTACTTTTAGTGCTTTGGGCTTTATCTTTTACGACCGACTTCACTTTTTTGAGGTTTTTTTGTTTGTTGTGAATTTATTGTATATTTCTAGTGTTACGATTACTGACAAAGATTATAAAATGACAATATCTACTGAAGGTGAAGGGTCGACCAGACTACTTGCCCTAGTGGTCGATCTTCTTGATACTCTTCTAGAAGACTGGTACGTCATTGTGGCTTTATTTTACGAGATCTGCCCTCTAACGGTTTCCACTTTGGTCTACTTTAGGTATCCAGCTATTGGCACTCGATTCGCGCACTCTTCGGAAGGTGACTTGCTAGTGAATCGTTTCGTGCCATGCTCCAAATGTGCTGCTGAAATAACCACGGAAGTTCAACGCGCCCGTGATGATGCCGATCTCGTTTCACGAAAAAGCTTTTCGGGGTTGGTTCTCCTATCGTGATAGATATACCATTTTCACTTTAAATTCTTTAAATTCACCCTTTTTCAAACCAAATTCACCCTCACTTTTCACATCAAATTAACCACACTTATTAGGGCGGGCAACTCATCAACCAGATCACGCCAGACATCACTGCGAGCCCCGCCCCGACGGCCACGCCCACTTGTCAGCGCGGACATAGATTCTCAAATCTTGTTTCATAACTTCTGCTTTTGCTGTTTCCCACAAACACTTTGACTGGAAACGACCGGGCATTGACACATGGCCGACTCCGCCCATTCTCTAAAGGGTTTGGCAATCTAGGCTGACCACGCCCACTTGCTTTTCGCGGACTTTCGATATTTTTTCAAAATTTTTGCATTTTAGGGCTGCTGCGTGAAGCCCCGCCCACTGTGAAGAGCTCCGCCCACTTTTCAAAAATGGTGCAAATCGGCAGTATAGAGCCTTGGCTTGCATGCTAGGGTATTGCTGATCATTCGGAACTTTGCCGGATTTTCTTGTTCCGAGTGACGACGAGACCCTAGCATGCAAGGCAAGTCTCTTACTGCCGATTTCCACCATTTTTGAAGTGGGCGGGGCTTCTTCAAAGTGGGCGGAGCCTCTCACAGTGGGCGGGGCTTCACGCAGCAGCCCTAAAATGCAAAAATTTTGAAAAAATATCGAAAGTCCGCGAAAAGCAAGTGGGCGTGGTCAGCCTAGATTGCCAAACCCTTTAGAGAATGGGCGGAGTCGGCCATGTGTCAATGCCCGGTCGTTTCCAGTCAAAGTGTTTGTGGGAAACAGCAAAAGCAGAAGTTATGAAACAAGATTTGAGAATCTATGTCCGCGCTGACAAGTGGGCGTGGCCGTCGGGGCGGGGCTCGCAGTGATGTCTGGCGTGATCTGGTTGATGAGTTGCCCGCCCTAATAAGTGTGGTTAATTTGATGTGAAAAGTGAGGGTGAATTTGGTTTGAAAAAGGGTGAATTTAAAGTGAAAATGGTATATATGAAGTCGACAAAGCGTTCTCTTGCTTTAGTGTGCGAGGTTCGAAAACTACTGGTGACATCTCGACTTTGTACGTCATCCACTGCTTTTCGATCGAGGAATGCATGCTAGCAGGTTGTTTGTTTGTCGAGTTTCTTCCCCAAAAACTGGCTTCCCAAAATTTCTCCGTTTTCCAGGATTCCTATTTTTTTGAACCTTTCCTCTACCGTTTTCTCTTCAGAGCTCATAGAAAAATTTCGATACCTCGTTTTGAAGAGCTTACCATTAGTGATACTAGTTGATTGCCTTGCCATATCTTCATCTGAAATATCAGTGCTATTTCAAGTTTAGGGCGCGAATACGGATGGCTTGAATGTCCTTCGCACAGCGGCGTGCACATGAGAGATGTAGCTCCAGATACGGTAACAATGTTTGAAGCCTACTTCATATGAACTCCGCCATAAAATCAGATCCCCTCTAACCCTTTTACCTCAGTAACTACAGCTGTTTCATCATGCAATGCTTTTGCGGTGGCTTCCCTTTTGACTCCGAAAGCCTGTTCTTAAAGGAAGGTTTAGCTTGAAGTTTGCGAAAATTTTTTAACACGGATTTAAATAACAGATGACATAGAAGGTCACAGAAAGTCGTCAAACAGGGAAAGAAGGAGTTTTATTTTCTGGTGTAATCACTGATTTGAAGATTGTACTTCTGTCTCAACTACAAAATCTTTCTTCCAGGTTTTTGTCGACATCGAGTCTTCTTTAATGATAGGAGCTGATCAGCTAAGGCGAGGAAGATTATTGGGAAGAGGCGCTTTCGGATTTGTTTTCAGAGCTACCGTGAAGCTACAGGTATAATTCTGTACAAGATATCTGGTGGAGTATTGCGATAACAGTCATCGCTGAAATAAAGCAAAGATCTCTTAGAGTGGTGAGCTCTGCGAAATTGCTCAGAAGATGTTGGAACCCGTAGATCCTGGCCCCGGTGCCAGGCCCACAGCTCTCGCTGCGTACAAAGTGAGTTCCCAGAGTTTGTAGTTGTAAGTGTCTTTCATGAAGCACTCATCAGTTCCGAAAATCTGACTTGATCTTGGTTATGATGTGATATGCTATATGTGAATGTTCAAGGCTGGCGCTGACAAGTGGCGCCGTGACTCGCTTGAATTCGCCTCAAGGGCCTATTGCACGTCTCGGCAAGAGCTGAATCTCCTCAGTCGACTGCATCATTCCAACATCATCGGCCTCATTGGGGTTCGCTTTTGTGTGGAGATTAGATTAGATTTTACCTCACCATTTCACCACGTTTACTTCATCAGCTGCTTAAAGGTTTGTGTATCTCCATTGTCTTTGGTGGTAGAGCTTGCACCTCTTGGTGCACTTAATCAGTTGCTGGCTAGTCATCGGAAAAGTGGAGCTCGTCTGGGATTATCCGTACTTCGAGATTCAGCAGTTCAAGTAAGTGTTCTCATGGGACGTTTCTTTCTCTAAAAGGAATTATGACACTTCTAGGTAGCTAAGGCTCTGGAATATCTTCACGCTGCACATATAATATACCGTGACCTGAAAAGCGAGAACGTTCTTGCATGGAGGTTCCCTTCACCGTTTGGTGCACTGACAGACGTACTGCTGAAGCTTGGCGATTACGGTATGTGGACGTATCAACTGTTCCTCGTTAGTTGTTCCAGTCCATTCACATTCAGGTATATCCCGAACAGTGATGCCATCTGGTGGAGCGAAGGGGTTTGGTGGCACCGAGGGCTTCATGGCACCAGAAATCGTTAGATTCAATGGCGAGGAGGAGTATACGCAAAAAGTTAGTGATGATGAAGCTAGACGTACTAGCTGATAACTTTGGCTGTTCATTTTGAACGGTTATCTAGAGGCACAATTCCAACAATTCAGGTTGACTGTTTCTCGTTTGGAATGTTCTTATATGAATTGATCACACTGAAGCACCCATTTGAAGGGCAGGAACATGTGAAGGAGCGATTGCTGGAGGGCGCACGACCAGTGTTCTTGCCACATGTTAGTATATGCTAATTTTCGGAGATCCTGATTTTCCACTTCCTGGGAAGGCTGGAAATCGAGTTTAAGTTTTTATCATTAGTTCGCTTCGGATGAAGGGGCGTGTCAGGCAGCATGAGTGTGCCACGGCGCCAAACCATTCTCTGCCAGTTGTTGAAGCGGGTATGCGACAACAAGTGGTAGAAAACGAGTGATACGAACGATATGATACAGTCTTATCACTTGCTCGCCTTCAACAACTGGTGGAGAGCGGATTTGACAGCGCACCAAAGTGTTCTGGCGCACCCTTTTGTCCGCAGCGACCAGCCTAAATAACCATTTAGGAGTTACTAGTTCCATCACCAATGTTGGATTTGATAATACATTGCTGGGCAACGTTGCCTGACGATCGGCCTTCATCGTCTCAGCTCGTAGGATATTGTTCTGCTCCTGAATTTACTCACATACTTGACGTTTGTGAACTTGAAGGTGGGCTTGTCTGTTTTCATGATTCAAGACAGTTTCGTAGTTTGTTTTACTAGGCCGCATTCATCATTTGCCAATAGGTTCTCACTTTGATGAGCTGTTTAGAAGCCCTGCCGCCTTCCTCTGTTCTGCCATATTATATTGGTGACGATATGGATGATCCGGACGATTTTGAGGCTCAACTTTGGTTAGGTGGCAAAAACATAACGGTAATGAGCTGCACACAGTATGGATGGCTGGATAAGAAGGTAGATCTTCCGAAACAGTGTTCATACTTAGCGATGACGCGCGTCGACGCGCTGTAACGCGCTACAATCAGCGCTGCAGTCCTATAGACGCGATCGCAGTCACAGACGGAACGGCAACCCCAGCGGGGAGTGCCGATCGATACCAGACTGCGTGACCAGGCAACACGCACCCTCCAGTTCCTCCATACTCTCTCAATGCACAAGCGGCGCTGATCGATCGTTTACGGCTACGTTCGCGTCTACAGAATTGTTGCACTGCTGCAATTGTAGCGTCGACTCGCATTAGACGGAGCGCGTCGACGCGAATTATAAACGCTGCCTAACTCATCATTCTGATAACGATGAAACTGCTCCTTTCCAGGTGGTCGAGACGGCTCTTCGTCCACGGTTCACAAATAGAGTTCGTGACACAGTTTGGTCTTGTGACGAGAGTGGCGAAGTTACGGTGTATGCTTCGTCCCTGCACGAGTTGAACGCGATTGCAGTTGCCTTCTCTCAGTGCACCTATTGTAAGTTTGTTTTGAGCCATAGATAAGGACACGGGCATTTTTGAATCCTGTTTGCAGATTCGGGCTCCAGAATTGATTGGGTCTGATGTTCTTGTACTGGTGACTGGCCGTCAACTGATACTTCTTCGATTGAGCGAGTCAAACTCGGTGGTACTGCTCGCTGCTCTTGACAGCCCATTTACGATCAAAACCGCAGCTGTTGTGGTGCAAGCTAGCAGCAGGTATCATATGTCCTTCTGCCGGGCCGAAGCTTATCCCACGATTTCGCGTATTCAGGCAAATCTGGACAGGCCATTCGGAAGGACGTATATCAATACATCATCTCAGTCAAGAGGACAAGTTTTCGTTTTCTTCCTCATTATATTTGCCGGAAGATAAAGTTATTGTCCGAGACATTGTGACTAGCAGGGATGGAAACAACGTCTGGGTGACAACTGAAGGAGGTAATATGAGTGGCACATAATTTACTGTGTTCGTTAACCGTCAATAATTAGTGTCTTGAAGGTGCTCGTGTGTTCTGTTGGGATGTAGAGCGACGTCAAATCTGTTCTTCTCTTGACATCCGCAAAGTAATGCCTGGTAGGTCATTGCGTTAATGTTCATTATTCCAATATTTTGTATTTTTTTCTTTGGAAAACGCTCCAGCCCATTTTCTCACAACGATTCTGCCATTTCTTGCTTTCCAACTTCCGGCATTACTTAAAATTCACCGCATCACCCTTCAAAATTTAACCCACATTTTGATCGAAGCCTTTCTTTTAGAATAGACTTGGTCAAAACTCCATACGTAGGGTAGTTTCACAAGGTGGGGGGCGCAGGAAAATAGCCCGTCTGGCTATGGTTATGCGTTTGGCGTGTGGATGGTCATCCGGCAGCCTGGGCGTATGGAGAGAATAAAGGGTATCTCTACTTCCAGCACAGTTCGTGCTTTTCTAGGCAGAGGAAGTGACCCGGTACCGCAACTCATCTCTCCACACATGGCGCGCACCGGGACCCTGTACAGTTCTTTTCGGAACGAAAGCTTGTGATTTCCGCGCCACGGATGCCGTTGCCATAGGTGGATTTGACGCCTGTGCCCATAGCTTACGTACTAAACATTTTACGCGAAGCTAGTGTGATAGCCGTGCGTGCTCAGTAGGTCTTAATACCCTTCTAGGTAGTTGGGAGCAAAGCGTGCGTGATATTCGCGTTCCAGAGCAAATTACTTACAAGACAATGTTCTGGTCAAATCCACCTACGGGAAAAAATTTCGATCAAAATCTGGCCGGTCTTTCGAAGGGTGAAACAGATAAGGGTAAACAGTAATTGAGTCTCTCATATTTTGGCTTTTGCTTTTCAGCTGTTTTAAATGATTCCTTTGCTCTAGGTAGTGAGACGATACACACTTTGGAAGTGGAGCTTGCCGAAGACAGCTACATTACTTGCGTAGCGCTGTTGGAGTGCTCAGATGGAGCCCAGTTATACGTGGGGACAAGCAAAGGTCTTCTTGTTGTGGCCAATGCCCTCTTGGTAAGCGAAAATGAGATCATTTTCATCATTGTTATTCTTACTACTATAAAGAAAAGTAGAGTAGAAGATGAGCTGAGAGAGCGAATGAGACCAAGGAGCGGAGGGGTCCCGACGAAGGTTTTCAAACAAAGGCAGGAGGAGGAGGAGGCTTTCAAAACTTCCCGCAATGTTTACTGCAAATGAACATATTCGTCCTACTCTTTTCTCCACCTCGATCCGTAATATACTCTTGTCTGACTAGGAGACAACAGCATATTCTCGCGATTTCAGTTACAACCGCTCTCAGCATGCCGACCTTATGGTGGCGAGTTGACTTCAATATGTGTCATCGAGGGACCTCGTGACGATGAGGGCTCTAGCAAAGGCAAGTGGTTTATCTAAAGCAGAAACTCTCACAAATATCATAACCGCATTCCTAGGTTGATTTGTTGACTAAAGGCATTTTGCTTCTAGTTCGTGGCACACTCAGTACGACTTCTTCTGAAAGTGGTTTGGGATGGGTCCGGGAACGAGTAAGCGAGACGCTGGAGAGAATCCGAGGAAGTCCTGCGCCTTTAGCTGGTCAAGGAACTGCGGTCGTCGTAACAATAGGCAGAGCTTATCGGTATGTGTCCCAGACACTTTTGCTTCTAATTTTAATTTCGAAATCATCCTGCTTTATATAATCCGCTATGTCCGTGCGTGTGTGTGCGTCTGTCTGTCACGAAATTCATAGCGATGTTCTCAGTAGCAGTGAGACTTTGGTTCCAAGGAGTGATGT